GTTATTGTAATTTAATTAAAAACTGTTTATATAAAACCTGTTTATATAAAAACTGTTTATATAAAAACTGTGTTATATAATCTGTTTTTGTAATTTAACTAAAAAAGTATAAAACTGTTATTTAGACATTATAAAAAACGTTTTTTTGTATAAACTTAAACTATACTGTTTTTCTAGAAAAACAGTTTGTATAAAAACTGTTTTTTTATTTAAAAAGTGTATAAAAACTTTTTTTTATAAACTGTTTTTGAAAAAAAAGTATACTGTTTCTAGGAAACAGTTTGTATAAAAACTGTTTTTTATTTAAAAAGTGTATTAAAACTCTTTTTTATAAACTGTTTTTGAAAAACTGTTTATAAAAATTGTATAAAATTCATGTATCTTAAACACCAAAAAAAAGATGGCCTCTCATGTAAACTTTGCAAAAAGTTTAACATGTTACTTACAATTGTAAATGTGTATAAAACAGATAAAAAAATGGCCTCTCATACAAACTGATATGACTGATAAAAAAAAAGATGGCCTCTCATATAAATTGATATATCGAAAACATAAAAAAATGATCTCCTCTCATGTAAACTTTGTAAAAAGTTTAACATGTTACCTCCAAGTGCAATTTATTACCAAATTATTTAAGAACTTATTATGAAAAAATATGGACCCCTCATATTAAACTAAAAATAGTTTAATATGCTATACACATTTTCAATTAATAATACTTGTATAAATTTTTATAGTGAAAAATAATAAATATACCCCAAACTTTAAAATAATAAATATACCCCAAATTTTTATAGTGAAAAATAATAAACTGTGTATAAGTTTAATATGAGTGGTTCAATAATTTCTAATAAACTCATCCTATAATTTATCAATGAGTTGACCCAGTCGATCGAAGAATCGATCAGTTGGAGCTTGTCAATGAGTTGACCTAGTCAATTCTTAGATAAGCTCCAATCTGTGGATTCTTCTGGCTACGGCTTGAGTCATCGATGGACTCTCCCAAACGCATGTACTGACATTATGTCGCTACATGTGATGTAGCCCATCCATGGTTCAAGGCGTAGCCTGAAGAATCGTCAGGATGGAGTTTATCAATGAGTCGACTGGGTCAACTCATTGATGAGCTCCAACCGGTTGATTCTTCGGTCGACTGTGTCAACTCATTAATAATTATAGGATTTGTTTATTAGCAATTATTGGAACCTAATATTAAACTTATACCCAGTTTAATATGTTATATACATTGACAATAGACAATACTTACATAAAATTTGATCTTCTATTATAAGAGTTCTAACAAAAAACAAATTAAATTAATATATTTTAGATGAGCAACGAACAATCGACCTCAGCTCCCCGACCTAACTATGCGCCCATGTCCGAAGCGGAGCGCAACAACGAAGGAGCTGTTTGGGTGACCCCTGCAGATGTTGCTTTGTAAGTAGTTATGATCAAACCTTATTTTCAATAATTTTAAATAATGTTAAATAATCTAACCAAATGTTATATAAATAAATACTATTAATTTTTTTAAGTGACGAACAAGTGTTCAAAGGCATCAAAAGCATAATCGGAGGACACTTTCTTGGCACTTGGGCCACGTACTCGGATGTTGACCCCAAGGTTCGCGAACTATGGTGGAACCTGTTCAAGGTAAAAATAAATGAATGTTCCCTCCCTTATTGTATTGGCCTAATATATACCTAGTGATTAATTAATTCAATTTGTTTTAATAAAGGCTCGCTATCGTTGGACTCACGCAAACGGTCCCGATATTCTTAGAGCCTTCAATGCTAGGATTTCGACCTGGCTTCGCGCCACTTTTAAGCGTGCCCGGAAAAGTGCGAAAAAGCCTAAATGGGTTTCGGATGAAGTGTGGTCCAACCTTTGTCGCCACTGGTCTTCTGATCCGAAATTCTTGGCCAGAAGTGAATCCGGTAAGAAAAACCGGATGTCCGAGAAGGCCTTGGAGATGCAGTGGCACGGAGGTCGCAAATCTCAGAATGCCCATAAAGAAACTCTTGTAAGTGCTATTCAAAAAACCTTACACCATCACAGTCCTTCATTATAAAAAATTTACTTAAGTCTTTTTCACACCATTTAGGCTGGTCCCGAGAAGAAGAGGGTTGATGTTCTCCGGCTCGTCAAGCATTGCTGGACGAAGCACGGCGAGGAATCTGAAGCCGATCTGCCACCCCGCCTCGCTGACTTCGAAGTATGTAACATCATATGTTGTTATTTAGTAACATTTCAAATCTAACCATGTAGCATTTAAAAAATATTTTTTAAAAATGCAGACGAAGTACAACGAATCCGTTGACAGGCAGCGTGCGGCACGAGGCTTGACCCAGGAGGACGACCTCGATTCCGATGCGGATGATGAGGCGGCCATTGAGGCGGCCGGGGTTTACAAGGGCCGGGTTCCATGCTTGGGGGCCGAGGGGCAACGGATTTTGTATGATCGAAGCACCGGCGCTTCCTCTTCTCGGTCAAGGCGGGGAGAAGATCCCCGTATTGCTACAATGCAGCGTGAACTAGAGGAGCACGAACGGCGATGGGAGGAGCAGCGGAAAGCAGATGCTGCCACAAAAGCCCGGTTGGAGGAGATGGAACGGTACATGCGTGCCGGATTCCAGCCTCCGCAACAGCCTTTTCCTCCCCCGTACGTATTCCACCCTGAGCAAACTCCTCAAGTTCCGCACATGGGCGGTATGGGATTTTTCCCCAACTCCGGATATGGTGGCATGCCTATGATCTCCCCGAATTTCGGTTCTATGTCCTTTGATTTTGCGAGGTCATCCGGAGGAGGTAGTGGCACACCGAGCCACGGAGGCCGAGGAGCACCCCGAGGAGGACCCCGAGGAGCACCCCGAGGAGGAACCCGACCTGACCCTGAAGACCCCCCCGTGAACCCAGATGAGTTTCTTGTTGATGATGATGATGAAGAAGAAGAAGAAGAAAATCCAGATTTTTTTCATAATGGAGTCCCACGAAGGGACATGTAATCATCATACATTTGTACTTTGTTGTTTGTCAAAACATTTAAAAGTTTGTCACAATATTTATTAAGTTTGTTGTATGTCTTTACTCTTTAAAATGTAATTTTAAATTTAAAAAATTAGAATAATATTTTCAATAATTCAATAGTATAAAAACATGGATAAAAATTAGAATAACATTTTTAAATTTAATTTGTAAAAATACGTGTTAAAAAGTAATTTTTAAAAACAACTTTCATAAAAAAATGGAAAATTTTTTTTTACAAAACAAAAATAGTAGTCACGGCCATATCCGTGACTACAGTTAATTCGAAATTATTATTTGTTTTTAATAAAAAAAATTATTTTTTTTAAAAAAAAAAACTTAGTCACGGTCGACAACCGTGACTAATTTCAAAATTTTAGATTACACCCGCGGGCGGTCTTTTGAAAATTTTGAAAATTTTAAAACTTAGTCACGGCCCACAGCCGTGACTAATATTTATTTTTAAAAAAAAAAATTATAGTCACGGTCACAAGCCGTGACTAACATGTCGGAGTGGGGTTTCCGGCATCAAATTAGTCACGGTCGTTGACCGTGACTAATCCGTGACTAAATTTAGTCACGGTTATGTGGCGGTGACTTCATTTAGTCACGCCAATTAAGACACGGATTTAGTCACGGCGGATGACCGTGACTAAACTTTTTAGTCACGGAAATTTTACACTGCAGTCCGTGACTAAATCCGTGACTACGCCCGTGTTTTTTTGTAGTGTAAAAAAAATCTAAAAATAATTTGAGTGTGGACAGGGATCTGTTTTCTTTATCGTCAGTCAAGTATCGTAAATCGAATTGTCCCAAACTTAGTGGGATAGAGGTATTATGATTTAGAACATGTACAACTATACAAGAGGTCATCACATTGGATAAAACCTCACACTATCGTTGCCCATGATTGAACTTGAGAAATCATCCAAACTGCTTACTCAACCTCACACTATCGTTGCCCATGATTGAACTTGAGAAATCAACCAAACTGCTTACTCAACCACGGTTGCACTACAAGTAGAGTTTCAATTTTCAATCATTTAATGGTGTTCGTAAAAGTACTGCTATACTTCAATATGGTGTAAAGTTGAACATTCTAATAGTAACTATAGACCTATAGTTACTATAAAAATATCAATAGCACACTCCTTTCTTTTATTTACACTGTAGTCATAAAATTGCCATAGTTGTGTTATATATATGAATAAAATAAAGAGAATTTACTTTAAATATGACTAAAAACGTTTGTAAATTCCAAAATAGGACTGTCATGTTTTTAATTCCCAAATGGGACTAATTACTGTCATATTTTGGCAGTACCAGACTTTAAACATGGCAGTATTTTCCAAACTTGACAGTAATTACTCCTATTTTGGAAATAAAAACATGACAATCCTATTTTGGAATTTTGACACGTTTTTGGTCCCATTTCGGAAACTTTCCCTAAAATAAATAAATGTATACACAGCAAATTCAATGTGTACGATCCATACATGCATAATTGGAGATTTTGATAACCTTTTCTTATTATTCATTAATCATATCATATTAATAATAAGCATTTATGAGTCTCAACCACATACCATAAAAAAACAATCTCAACCACTTCTATTCTTCTTCTCCCAACATCTTAATCTCTTCTTAGCAGAAGACTCAACTTCTCTATGTACTACCTCCGGTTTTTTTTAATCTTCACAGTTAGACTTCACACAAAATAAGGAAAGAAATTTGACTTTACTGTAGAGTACATTGTTGAGGCACTGTTTGACACTGTTTGGCACTGTAGAGACACTGTTTGACACTGTTGAGACACTATTCGGCACTGTTTGGCACTGTTTTGATGTAGATTTCTTTTGCCAAAAAAGGAAATAAGGAAGTGTGAAGTTTATTTTAGACCGTCCCAAAAAAGAAAGTGTGAACTTTATTAAAAACCGGAGGGAGTATGTAACTGCATACTTGTCATGAATATGCTTGACTTCAAATTGGAACATCATATTGCATGTAAAACCGATCTAAAACAGTTAACATTCACTAACACACAAATAATTTCCTATATCAGTGTCTCAAAAGACCGACAATATTAAGTTAACCACATTACTACATTAGTCAGTCCGTGTATATAAATTGGGTAAATTTCCATCTAACCCTGTAATTATGCTGGGACAACCTCAACATCCAACACAACACCAGCTGAACTAGTTCCAGCACACTGAAGTTTGAAGAGGCAGGTGTCTCCCACTCCGAGTTTGTTTCCTGCAATGAACTCCAGCCAACCCCTGGTGATGACTGCATATTTGGTGCTCCCTCCCCTGCAAACCCGAAGGCTGACTTCTTGCTCAACCATTGGCCCTCTCAGAGTTAGTCTTGCATTTTGATATCGATCATTTGCCACACAAAATCCTGCAGGGACATGCTGAAATACATATTTAAGAAACATATCATTAGTATCAGACAAAAAAGCAGCAAAAGCTCTGTTTTTCGAGGAAAAATCGGACAGTTTAAGTTTGAGTTTGTAATGAAAAAATGAATTCTTAACGGTTTATTTGGAGGGGAAGTATTTGAAGGGTTTAATCTATATCTTGACAGGTCAAATGTTTCTAAAGATGTATTAAATGTTATATAACCACATATTATGTCAAAAGCTAATAATTTTAACATTGAAGAATGAAGACTAAAATTATTCCCCTCCAAACCTTCAAAGAGCTCAGAGTTGAGATTCAAAAGCTTACCATATAAGGAGATCGATGACGGAGATGGTATGACTTCATTATTAATGAAAACTGCAGATTTTGTTCAGGAGAAGATGTGTTCACCTTAGGTACTTTTTTACCTACCAAACATCAGACTTTAGTATGACACTGAGGAATAAACAAAGTAATATACTAGTATTAAAAAGAATTATAACTCACATTTTCTCTCAAGGTAGCGAATCCAACTAGTCTCAGATGCACACTAATATACTATGAATTAAAATCATGAATTGATTTTACAAAAAAATGGAATCATGCAGTATTTACAAAACAAAACAAAAAACAGGATAGCCACAGACTTACTTTTAACGTCCACTTTTTTCACATCGCCCTCCATTTTTAACTTTGCAGAACAACTTTTTATATCATTATTCTGAGGTTTTATGAGGGAGATTTGTTTCCCATCATAAACTTGAAAGGGGATCAGTTGCCTATTAACTGAATCGCAAGATCGAGTAGTACTGGGAGATAGCCCTTTCTCTCCATCTTGGGCAGGGAAATTATCATTGAGTTGATAAGTGATAATGTCTTCATCCCTTTCCACCTTCATAGCAGATTCCTCGAAGTGTTTTTTATTGATTGGGTTGAGTTTGGCAGAATATATATTCTGATCATCTTCCTCCCCTGACATGACAGAGGCCACTTTATCAAATTCTACCTATATATTAAAATTAAAGCAAATGACTCAGGTTTGTAGGGTTTTCTTACTTCTACAAGAAATTAGGTACAATAGCTGGGATTTTTTTAGATTGTTTGAGGGTATGTTGGATCACAAGAAATGCTTCCAACGGAATAAGTTGTGATTAACTTTATCAGTTTTTAAACATTTAGTTAGATTTCTCTTTATCTATAAATAAAAATAATTAACTAAAATGAGTATCAACAAACATCTAAGAAATTGATTGAGTTTTATTCCCTTCTTAAATTTCCTCCCACATTTTCTTTCCTTCTAATTTTCCTATAAGCTTTCCTTCTTATATCCTCTGAAGTGTTTTCTGGGGTTCAAACGGACACTAAAAGAAAAATGGGCCTGAAGTCAACCTTCATGTTATAATAATTATTCTTGGCAATGCCTATCTAAGAGGCTGAAAAGGGATGCAGCAAAACAAAGGTGTAAATTCCCCCTGAGTGCAAAGTCTAAATCAGAGCCATTGCTCCAAAGAATTGCAGAATTTAAAACAAAGTCTTAACAGGTTTTTTCCTGCCGCGATGCAGTTATTGAAAAGAATTAAAGAATAATTACACTCTTGACTCATCCTAAGAAACTAAACTGAACTTACTCCCATAGAAATTGAACTTCCTGGCATCTGAACCATCACTCATATGAAAATGATGTTGAGTATGAGGAGGCACTTCTTCAGCCTCAGACTTCACCGATGGTGTGGCATTATTCACCCCCGTATCAGCTGTTTGAAAGTTGGTTAGAGCAGAGAAGTTTACCTAGAACAGAGATAAATATATATACACATTAACATAGTCACTGACCCTTATCTTCAGTCTCAATTTCATCAATGAAATCCTTCTCACAGCAGGTCAGAGTATAAACTGTGACTTTGAAATTAGAGCTACCCATGCATTTAAAAGTGATAAAATCTCCAGCTGCAAGGCCATGTTTGAGGACAAAAGCATGCCACCCATTGGTGAACCACAGCCCCCCATCTTGCGATTCCTGGATAGTGACCGCAGAGGTTCCCTTTTTAGTTATTAGCACAGCTTTTTTTGCTCCCTTTTCGCCCAGCTTCCATGACATTTTAGGTGGAAGCCTCTGCACCATTTAAATATTTTCCACAAAAAAGGCTCTCAATGTAGGAATATTTTGATTAAAAAAAGGGATGAAGAAGAAGAGAAAAAATAGAGAGAATACCAGACAGTCAAATCCAGGAAGCAACACCTTGAAGAATCTTAACACCTTGACTTTGAAAATAGAGCTACCCATGTGTTTAAAAGTGATAAATTGTCCAGCTACAAGGCCATGTTTGAGGACAAAAGCATGCCACCCGTTGGTGAACCACAGCCTCCCATCTTGTAATTTCTGGATTGTGACCACAAAGATTCCTTCTTTTGTTATCAACTTAACTTTTCTTGCTTCCTTTTCCCCCAGTTTCCTTGATATTATCGGTGGAAGCCTCTGCACCATAAATATTTTCCGCAAAAATAGGCTCTCACAATAAGAATATTTTGATAAGAAGAGGGTTGAAGAGGAAGAGCAAAATAGAGAGGGAGAGAATACCAGTCTGGCATGAAATCCAGGAAGCAACACCTTGAAGAATCTGGGCACCTTGAGTTCCATTTTAAAAGAGAGAGCTAATACAGATTCTATGGTCTCAACTCTCAAGAGCAATTTAGTCTTGCATACACTTAACTCCAACAAAGAAGAGAATTTTCTTGTTTCCTCTTCTTCTTTTTCGTTTCAGAGAAACAAACACAGCACAGGAAAAAAAAGTTCAGACCTGAAATACAGCACATAATTACCAGGATACGGGCAGAGATACTACAATGTACTGAGTCCTGTGAACAAATCTCTGCTTTTTTATTTTTTTCCTCTTTTGCCAAAGTTCTGTTTTCTTGAGTTTGATTCCTTCTTAACTTAATACCTTTTGGAGGAAAAAGAGTACACCCAATGGACGATAACAGAAAATATGCATTAATAGTGCTCAGTTTTTGCAGAAATCTTGGTACTGGGAAGATTATCTTTAGTAATTAGTACTCCCTCCGTTCCTAAAAATTCTTCCCTGTTTGACTTGGCACGCCTATTAAGAAAGTGAAATAAAGTGGAATTGTGTGGTTGTGGTTGTGTGAGAAAAAGGTGAAATGAATGTGAGCCACACAAATTGTCCAAAAAGGGAAAGTGGGAAGAATTTTTGGGAACGGCCCAAAAAGGAAAGTGGGAAGTATTTTTGGGAACAGAGGGAGTACATCAAAGACTGAGACACATATTACAACACAGAGCAATATATACTATGTATTAAACTTTTATATACATATATACATATATATATAGGTATGTCTTGTGTAAGTGTGTGCATATGTAATAGACACACAAAATTAGATTTTTCGATTATGGACAATATATGTCTTTGCATAAGCTAATTTGAACATAAATATTAATACACCAATAATAAGTTTTCACGACCAGATTTATCACTGGAACTCTCCACTGCAACTATTCTTAATTTCTAGGTACTATTTTAGTATTTTTTTTCTCTATAAATTATAGGGATACTCCGTTTAATATTGCTCCTACATTTCCTTGTCAGTGAATTCTTCTTTGCATGCGTACATCACCATTTGAAACTACCCTAGTCTTTGATTTAGCATGTTCCATCTTTTATTTCAAACTCAAGCTTCATTAACAGGGGCCAAAGGGGTAGACTTCCCCAACATCCAGCTTTTTATTAGTTTCACAGTTCCACTCTCCTAAATTGGGGGTAATTAAGGGGAGAAATTTTGAAATGGTAACCGACCATTGCTCTGAAGCTCTATTTATATACTCCGTATTGTATAGATTCCATTTCATGGATACCAAAAAAATGAGTTGAAATTGGGGCACTGTAGGAATTAATTTGCCAAATAAATCTTGAGAAAACAAAATAGAGCTAAAATATTACTCCGTAATTCATACTGCTTATAAATCAGTGACAAAGAAATGAAGCTCGCGAAGATACTGTGGCGTTTGGACATTGTACAAAAGGCATTTTACCTAGGTTTCTGATCGCACCAGCTCCTAGTAATGGCGTCATAGTCGGCGTTCCACCTTTTCAAAGCTATTCTTTCATTTTGATAGGGATCACTTGTCAAATGATCTGCATCAAAATGTAAGGACGACATTGAAGATGATCTTTGCTGGTTCATTGCAGCCTAAGACTCAGGTCTACAACTATCAACTATGTTTCCAGGGAAGTACAAATTGAACCCAACATTCCAACATTAGAAGTGAAGAAGCGAGGGATATGATGGACTTGTTTCAGCTGGCTTGTTAGTTTTTTTTAATACTTCATCCCAAAATAGTTGGCCAACACGTGGATTAATAAAGTAAAAACTGTGTGGTTGAAATTTGTGCAGAGGAGAGAAAATTAACTTTAAACGCATATTCCTAACTTTAAATGGAAATGATCAACCTTTTTGGGACGGCCAAAAAAAGAAATTTGGTCAACCATTTGGGACGGAGGGAGTATAAAAGAACCGTTTTTTATAATAATATCCAGAAAAAGACATCCTCCAAACAGTTATGACATAATCTATCGTAAATCCCAGGAATAGACTTAGAATCAGTCATCTCATACATAATAATCAGATTCACTAAACACAAAAACAGACAAATTGAAGCCCAAACAATTGGAACTAAAATAATGTCAATCAAAAGTACTCTAGAAATCCAAATATCCAACTCAAACCTACTCAGAATAAAATAAAATAAAAAGTATTGCTAAAGAAAATATAAAAATGAAATAAAGTCTTTCCACAAAATTATTCCTGACACAGAGGTGGTTCTAAAGGAGGACGAGCTATGTCATTTTCTATGCAGCCTAAAAGAAGACCGACAGAACCCCCCGATAAGATGAAGCTGATCGGGACACCAAAATCCCCACAGCAAGGGAGACAAAAAACATGGAGCACCAGTGCCCGGGAAAGAACCGTCATATCACAGTACAAACACAACCAGAAAAGAAGAATAGTCTGGTTGAATCATACTCCTACCAAGAATCTCCGAAAATTGATATCACCTTGATCAAGTCCAGAAGAGAGACAAAAATTGTGTACCTAACCAAGCCAAGTGGGTTGCCGTGGTATTCCTTCAAGGTTGCCAATTGACGGAGGCCATACTTGGAGCGCCACTGCTAGGTTTTTTTTGGCTTGTTAGTTATTCGCGTGTAAGTTAACTATAATATAAGTATAATTTTTCTAGGGTTTTTCAGAAAATTCTGAAAAATTCACGTACTATGAGAATAAAACGTATAATACACGTAAAGTACGTATTATATGTGGTACTTATTATATTGCTTAAAAATTATTATGCCTTATACGTTTGTTAAGTGTTTAATAATCATTAGATTTAACAAATTAATTCCTTAAAGTCATAATTCATTTTGATATTACTATTGTATTACTCTCGTGGTCCACCCATACCAAGACTCTAAAGCAAAAAGAATATTGTGGCGGTTCACCAAACTCACGATCACGGTAATATCAACTATTCTCTAGTAATATCTCTCTACTTATACTCAAATAGGCAACGTCATTTTTATTACTTGTTGTGTAAGGCTTTTAGATCTTCTAGCTCAGGTCTCTAGCCACACGAACCCGAAGGTTCTGGAACAACTCACAACCACCACAAGGACCTACCGGAACGGGAGCCGCCACCAAAGGCACCAGAATCGAAACCCGAACCCAGCTACCCTCTCGAACCTCTCCCTAGATCCCACAGAGCACACACACACACACGAAGGAGGTGAAGAGAGGAGCGGGAGAAGGAGACCGGCTAGAGAGAAGCAAGACTCTCTCTCTCTCTCAACAACAGGCTCTAGAACTAGGGTTACACATATGCGGCTCGCTCAAAGGGGGAAGGCGGACAAAGGGTATAAGTAGCCGGGTCAAGCAAGCCCAACAAGGTAAGTAGGGTAAAGCAGGTAAGGACCGAGACACAAAGGAAGTGGGCCAAGAAAGGAACAGGTGGGCTGGGTGGTAACCAAAATTATTAAGGCCCAAGTCTCAGTAAATAATGAAGAAGAAGGCCAAGGCACATAGGGCCAAGTCTCAGTTTCCCTTTATTACTTGCTTCATTTCTCTCTGTCCATTCAATCACTTTCACTCTTCTCTCAATCTCTCTTAATTTCTGTTTAGAAGACTCAACTTCTCTATATGTAGAGCATATTGTAAAGCATACATGTCAAGCATACCAAATAAGAGAGTTCAAATTGGGACAGCATATTGTAAAACCAGCCTTGAAAAGTTAGCATTAACTGCAAGTCTAAGAGAAAAATAATTTCCTAAATCAGTATCCCAAGAAACTGGCAATGTTAACCATCCAACCCTAGAATTATGCAGGAACAACCTCAACATCCCACAGAGCACCAGCTGAACTAGTTCCAGCACACTGCAGTTTGAAGATGCAGGTGTCTCCCTTTCTGAGTTTGTTTCCTGCAATGAACTCCCGCCAACCATTAGTGATGACTGCATATTTGGTGTTCCCTCCATTGCAAACCCTAAGGCTGACTTCTTGCTCAACTATTGGGCCTCTCAAAGTCAGTCTTGCATTTTGATATAGATTGTTAGCCACACAAAATACTGCAGGAATATGCTGAAATCCAGGTTCAAGAAATATATTACGTGGTATTAGTATAAGAAAAAAAAGCAGCAAAAGGTCTGTTCTTTGAGGGGAATTGAGAGAGTTTATGTTTAAGTTTGTAATGAACAAATGAATTCTGAAGGGTTTGTTTGGAGGGGAAGTATTTGAAGGGTTTAATCTATATCTTGACCAGCCAAATGTTCCTAAAAATGTATTAGATGTTATATGACTGCATATCATGTTAAAAATTTATTAACTTCAGCCAAATGTAGACCAAGAATGAAGCCTAAAAGTCTTCCCCTCCAAACCTTCAAAAAGAGCTCAGAGTTGAGATTCAAATCCTTACCATAAAAGGAGATCGACGACGGAGATGGTATGACTTCATTATTGATGAAAATTGCGGATTTTGTTCAGGAGAAGATGTGTTTACTTTAGGAGCTCTTTTCCCTACCAAGCAGGAACTTCATTACAACAATAAATAAACAAAAAACTTTATGAAACAAAATATAGCTCACTTTTTCTCTCAGGGTAGAGAATCAAATTCGTCTCGGGTGCAACACAAATATTATTATGAAGTAAAACCATGCATTAATTATACAAAAAAAAAAATTAGTGGCACTATGCAGTATTTACAACAACAAAAAAGGATAGCCACAACTTACTTTTGACGTCCACTTTTTTCGCACCGTCCTCCCGTTTCCGCTTTGTAGAACCACTTTTTATGTCATTATTCTGAGGTTTTATTTGGGAAATTGGTTTGACATCATCAACTTGAAAAGGGATAAGTTCCCTATTGACTGAATTACCAGATGGAGTAGTGTTTGGAGGCGGTCCTTTCTCTCCATCACAGGAAGTGAAATCATCATTGTCCATCTCAGCCAATATTTGCAAAAGTGGAGCAAGACGAGAATTGAGTTGAGAAGTGATAATATCTTCATCCCTTTTCACCTTCACAGCAGAAAGCTCAAAGCTCTCTTTATCGATTGGGTTGGGTTTAGTAGAATCTAACTTTTGATCATCTTCCTCTCCTGGCCTGACAGAATCCATCTCTTTCTCATTGCTATTTTTGTCTAGCAATGAAACATTAAAGCAAATTCCACCTATGTATTCAAATACTGCAAAATCTCCCACTCTTAATCCATGGTTCCTGACAAATGCATCCCACCCCTTCCCAAAACAAAGGTTTCCTTGGTCACCATTTTCTATCTCCACATCCCATGAACCCTTTGCAGTAACTAAAGTTGCTATTGGTGACTTCTCTCCATTAAGTTTTTCACAAACCAAGGGCGGCAGAGTCTGCTTTTCACAATAAGAAGAAAAACTGTTATTTAATTTTTACAAAATTACTCCGTATTTGTTGAGTTGTTTTGGAAGGAAGAGTTCTATAACTAAATCTGCCAACTGCTTTTGTTCTATGGCAAAAATTATGGGCTCTTATACTAATAAATAAAAGGAATAGTAAAACCAATGCTCCAAACAAAAAAGAGTAGGAATTAGGAAAGATCCCATCTTTGTCTGGATGGAAGTTATGAAACCATTGTTATTCCAATTCTAAGTTTAAAACTTATCTGTTTATGATTAAGAGTTAAGACATCATGAAAAGAATTTAATATTGGCAAAGTCAGGGGGCAAAAGAGTGAAAAATTGAATAAAAGATTAATTAAGGAGATGCAATTGATTTGAGACAAGGAATGTACCAGTTGAGTCTGAAAACCGGGAAACATGACCTTTAAGAACCGCCAACCGAACGGAAGCTGATCTGTTGATGCCTCCAAAAGATGATCTAATGGAATAGTTTCTACTTCAGTTAAGGCTGAAAAGGGAGACATCAAAAAAAGGGACTAATTCCACCCCAAGTGCAAAGCCTATATCAAAGCCATTGCTGGAAAGAATTGCAGATATTGTAACAAATAGTCCTAACCAGATTTTTCTTCACCTAATGCAGTTATTGAAAAGATTTAAAGAAATAAACTTACTCCCATTGAGTCCCTCCCTGGAATTTGAACCATCATTCATATGAAAATGGTGTTGGGTAGGAGGAGGAGGCGGGGGAGGCATTTCTTCAGCTTCAGACTCCACCAATGGGCTGGCATTTTTCTTCCACGTTTCAGCTGTTTCGCAGTTAGTTAGTGGGTCAGGGCAATAAAGTTTATCCAAGACTGAGATAAAATATATACACAAGAACATAGTCACTGACCCTTAACTTCTGCCTTAGGTTCATCAATGAAAAACTTCTCACAGCAGGTCTCACTATAAACTGTGACTTTTAAATTAGAGCTACCCATGTATTTAAAAGTGATATAGTCTCCAGCAACAAGGCCATGTTTGAGGACAAAAGCATGCCACCCCTTGGTGAACCATAGCCTCCCATCTTGAAACTTCTGGATTGTGACCGGAGAGGTTCCCTTTCCTGTTATTAACAAAACTTTTTGTGCCTTCTTTTCACCCAGTTTCCATGATATAATCGGTGGAAGCCTCTGCACCATTAAAAAATTTCCACAAAAAAAGGATCTAGGTCATCTAGCAGTAGGAAATTTTCAATAAACAAGAGATGAAGAAGAAATGTGCAATAGAGAAAGAAAGAGAATACCAGTCTGGCTTCAAAACCAGGAGGCAACACCATGAAGAATCTGGGCACCTTGGCTTCCATTTTAAAAGAGAGAGCTTACAAAGATTCTCTGGTCTCGAGAGCAATTTGGTGTAGAATACGCTCAAGTCCAACGAAAAAGAGAATTTTCTTGTTTCCTTTTCTTCTTTTTCGTAGAGAAACAAACACAACACAGGAAACAAGAGTCCAGACCTCAAAGTACAGCTCATAATTACCAGGATACGGGCAGAGATACTGCATTGTACTGAGTCCTATAAACAAGTCTCTGCTTTTTCCTTCTTTCCCTTTTTTGTGAAAGTTCTGTCTTCTTGGGTTTGATTACTTCTTAACTTAATATCATTTGGAGAAAAAAGAGTTTACCCAGTGGTCAATAACAGAAAGCATGCATTAATAGAGCTCAGTTTTTCCAGAAATCCTGGTCATGGAAAGATCATCTATATTAATTACGATAGTATATGAAACAGTAAAATACATTTTACAAGTTTACAACAGAGCAATATAAATTAAACTTATACGGAGTACTTAGTATGTATATATTAATGTGTGTGTGTGCCTGTTTGATAGACATGCATATATTTATCATATACTCCGTACATGAATACGTTATCAGCTAATTTGAGCCAACTCTAAACCTTTGGAGCCTCATTTGGTTTAATTTGCTCATATTATCATATAATCCCTTGGAGCTCTCCGATGCAAATATCCTTAATTTCTAGGTACTAAGTTTTTCTCCAATGCAATATTATTAAAGTTAACATTGCTCCTACAATTCCTTGACAGTGAATTCTTCTTTCTATCATTGTATGTCTACATCACCGTTTAAAACTACCCTAGCCTTTGATTTCACATGTTCTATTTTTTATTTCTAACTCAAGCTTCATTAACATTGGCCGAAGGGGTAGAACTTACCCAACTTCCAGCTTTAATAGTTCCACAGTTCCACTCTCCTGATTCGTATGTATGTAAGAGCATAACTTAATTTTTCTTCAAGTGTAAATTTTTTCATTTTTTATAATTAACTTACTCCACTAATATTTAAGCCTAGTATAATTACTTTCAATCCAATCCAACTCAGATTCCTGAATCAAAATTAGTACCAGACCATTGCTATGATGCTCTAATTATATGTTGTATAGATTTCATTTCATGGATACAACCTCAAGAAGATACTGTGGCGTTTAGACGATGCACAAAATGAATTTTAATTTCTGATCTGACCAGCTAGCTCCTAGTGATGGCGCCATTAGTTGGTCTTCTACCGTTTCAAAGCTGGTTCGTGGCCGGCGAAGACTCCAGATCGGCAGATCTCAACCATGTTTCATGTTTGGGGGAGAGCACGAAATGACCTAGCATTACATGATTACAAATGAGGGATACAAGATTCCCTTATTAAAGTTTGATTTGAGTTTTATACTTTGCACCAATGTAGTTTGTTAATATGTTAAAACGTCTATCCAGTATATCGATTTGTTAATGTCGTAACAAATAGGGGTCTAGAAAGAAAAAAGTATTAGTGTGAGTCCGTAAAAACAATGCTCTCTCCGTCCCTAAATTATGTGGTGGAGAGTTGTTCAGAAAATGTGTAAAGTGAACTATACATTCTTTACCAAAAAAAAAAAAAGAGAAAATTGAAATTCACTTTGGGATGACAAAAAGGGAACTTTGTAAAAAGAATACTCCCTCCGTCTCAATCACTTTCACTCTTCTCTCAATCTCTCTCAAATTTTGTTTAGTAGAACACTGAACTTCTCTATACATGCCATGCATACCAAATAAGAGACCTCCAATTGGGACAGCATATTGTAAAACCAGCCTTGAAAAGTTAGCATTCTATAACACAAATATAATTTCCTAAATTAGTATCCCAAAAAACTGGCAATATTAAGTGAACCAGATTAGTCCGTCGGTGTATATACATTCGGGTAAAGTACCATCTAACCCTAGAATTATGCCGGGACAACCTCGACATCCAACACAGCACCAGCTGAACTAGTTCCAGCACACTGTAGTTTGAAGATGCAGGTGTCTCCCTCTCTGAGTTTGTTTCCTGCAATGAACTCTGGCCAACCCCTAGTGATGACTGCATATTTCGTGTTCCCTCCATTGCAAACCCTAAGGCTGACTTCTTCCTCAACTATTGGGCCTTTCAGAGTTAGTCTTGCGTTTTGATATAGATTATTTGCCACACAAAACACTGCAGGGACATGCTGAAATCCAGGTTTAAGAAATATACTATTAGCATAAGAAAAGAAGCAGCAAAAGCTCCGTTCTTTGGCGGGAAACGGGACAGTTTATGTTTGAATTTGTAATGAACAAATGAATTCTTAAGGGTTTGTTTGGAGGGGAAGTATTTGAAGGGTTTAATCTATATCTTGACAAGCCAAATGTTCCTAAAAATGTATTACATGTTATATGACTGCGTATTATGTTAAAAACTAATTAACTTTATTAAATCTCACGTGTACATCAAGAATAATGACTAAAAGTCTCCCCCCAGCCCTTCTAAAAGCAGGGGCGGCCCTGATAGTTTCCAGGCCCAGGGGCAAATAGTTTATAATGAGCCTAACTTTTAATTATTATTTTTGTCTAAACTAATGCATAACAATAATACTTCAAAAATTGTATATATAATAAAGGAAAGACTTTTGTAATTCGTTGTATTAAGAAAGTAAAATTACACTTAGAGAACATTTCTGTTACACCTTGAAATTTATTATATTTATAAATTTAATGAAAATCCATTTTTTACTGAAGAAAATTTAAAACTATCACGAGATGATTTAATTTTATCATCAGTCAACATTAAAATTCAAAAATTGCAACTGAAATCGGGACAGAGGAAGTATAAATCTGAATTTGCGATTTCACGATCAATAAGTCAAAAACTAGGCGATTAATCAACGAAAATGTAAATTCAATGGTAATAAAAAAAAAATGAAAAGCTATGATAACTGATCTTGAAATAAGTGAGAGCAACAACAACAACATCCAAGCCTTAGTCCCAAGCGATATTGGGTAAATAAGTGAGAGCATAAATGTAAAATATACAAGAACATAAGAGTAATAAAAGATATAGAGGACTCGAGGTTATCAGAAGTTAGCATCCTATGTTCAGATTATGAAGGGTAAAAGGCTCATGAAGTTGGTGTATCCACTATCTCTATGGTCCATTGAGTATTGACTGATAGTATTTTATAATGAGGAATCAAAATATTGAGGTTTGAACTTTGAAGAAGTGAGAGCCTAAATGACGATTCAGTGATAGACACCGGCCCTACAGAGAGTCCTTTTTTTTTTGGAAAAATTGTTTACGCCTTCAGAACTCTTTTCCCTAGCTATGTCGCATGAAATTAGTGGATATAGCCTAAAAACTCAGCCTGCTCACTCTTAATATAAAGCCTTAAGACTGGGCCTAATTTTTTTACACTTTTTTTGGGCCTTGGGCGCCCGCCCCTGCTGCACCTCCCCTAAGGCCGCCCCTGTCTAAAAGTGTTCAGAGTTGAGATTCAAAAGCTTACCATATAAGGAGATCGACGACGGAGATGGTATGACTTCATTACTGATGAAAATTGCAGATTTTGCTCAGGAGAAGATGTGTTCACTTTGGGTGGTCTTTTCCCTACAAAACATTGGAACTTCATTACAACAACGAATAAACTAAAAACTATATGAAAAAGAATTATAGCTCACATTTTCTCTCAAGGTAGAGAATCAAATTAGTCTCGGGTGCAACAAAAATATTATTATGAAGTAAAACAATGCATTAATTATAAAATAAAATTGAAATTTTTAGTGGCATTATTTAGTATTTACAAAAAAAAGGATAGCCACAACTTACTTTTAATGCCCACTTTTTTCGCACTGTCCTCCCTTTTCCGCTTTGTAGAACTGCTTTTTATGTCATTATTCTGAGGTTTTATTTGGGCTATTGGTTTGACATCATCAACTTGAAAAGGGATAAGTTCCCTATTAACCGAATTACCAGATAGGGTAGTGTTTGGAGGCGGTCCTTTCTCTCCATCATATGAAGTGAAATCATCATTGTCCATCTCAGCCAATATTTGCAAAAGTGGAGCAAGACGAGAATTGAGTTGAGAAGTAATAATCTCTTCATCCCTCTCCACCTTCACAGCAGAAAGCTCAATGTGCTCTTTTTTTATTGGGTTGGGTTTAGGAGAATCTATCTTCTGATCATCTTGCTCTCCTGGCCTGATAGAATCCATCTTTTTCTCATTGCCATTTTTGTCTAGCAATGAAACATTAAAGCAAATTCCACCTGTGTATTCAAATACTGCAAAATCTTCCACTCTTATTCCATGGTTCATGACAAATGCATCCCACCCCTTCCCAAAACAAAGGTTTCCTTGGTCACCATTTTCTATCTCCACATCCCATGAACCCTTTGCAGTAACTAAAGTTGCTTTTGATGACTTTTCTCCATTAAGTTTTTCACAAACCAAGGGCGGCAGAGTCTGCTTTTCACAATAAGAAGAAAAACTGATATAATTCATACAAAGTTACTCCATACTTGTCGAGATGTTTTGGAAGGAAGAGTTGTATAACTCAATCTACCAACTTATTTTGTTCAATGGCACAAATTATGGGGTCTTATTCTAATAAATAAAAGGAATAGCAAAACCAATTCTCCAAACAAAAAAGATGAGGAATTAGAAAAGATCCAATCTTTGTCTGGATGGAGGTCATGGAACCATCTATTCTAATTCTGAATTTAAAGTTTATCTGTTTATGATTAAGACACAATGAAAAGAATGAAATATTGGCAAAGTCAGTGGGCAAAAGAGGGGAAAACAAAGATTTTGAAGAAGATCAAGAATCCTTAAAATTTGATTTGAATAAAAGATTAATTAAGTAGAAGCGATTGATTTGAAACAAGGATCATACCAGTTTAGTCTGAAAACCGGGAAACATGACCTTTAAGAACCGCCAACCGAACGGAAGCATCGCTTCCGCACCGCCTTCCTTCGCCGGTGGAAGAAACCCTTTATAAGAAAGTGTTCCGACTATTGCTGATCTCAACGGCAGCTGATCTGTTGATGACTCCAAAAGATGATCTAATGGAATAGTTTCTACTTCAGTTAAGATCGGACAACTCTGACCCTTTCTGAAAGCAATTAGCGATTTATACGAACCGTACGTTGCAGTTGGAAACAAATGAATAGAATTTCTAATCAGTCTAGGACAGTTAGTATACCTCGTACAACCCGGAATTTGTATTTTATTCATGTTTGTTCTAGGCCCTGGACAACCCGGAAACTCATCATGAGTTGATTTTGGGCTTACATAAATCCCACGCCTATCTAAAGCCCAAATATTGGTCACTCTCTAGTCTCTACAAGTGCTGACGATCCATCACACGATCCAATATTTTTTTTCAAAAAATGGGACTATAAAGCGACCGGGTCACACGTCAAGTGGAACACGGTAGATCAACGCTAGTGTCGTAAACGAATCAAATAATTTGTGCTCGATTCGCAATTTGAATTCGTATAAGATGATCCGAATTCGGAAAATTCAAATACAAATACAAATATGAATATTAAATTTGATTCGAGTTGTTATCAAATTCAAATAAGAATATCAGTGTATTCGATTTGAATATTAATCAAATATATTCGATTAATAATAGTGATAATATTAATAATAATATTAATAATAATAGTAATAACACTATAATAAATTTTAAAAGATAGCAATACCCTAAAGTGTAGTTCATATATACATTATGCATACAAATCCCAAGTCCATTTGTAATAAATCAAATCAAAGTATAAATAAATACGAATACAAATCAGATTTTTGGTTCAAATGTCTTTCAAATACAATACAAATAATTATGTATTCGATTCGAAGAATAAAATTAGAGACGTCTGACTTTGATATATACAATTATCAACTTATTTCACACATTGTAAGTATAATTTCTAATATGTGTGTTGTGTTTATTTCTAAAAGTTTGAAATAGATTTATATTTGTTAATCATAAAATTGAATCACTTTAGTATATCATGCATAATTTAAATTCTAAAAACACATATTAAGACATAGCGTACATTTACAACATAAAAATATATAAGAAAATTTATTTTAAAGTGATATTTGACTAATATTTAACCTATGCTCAAATCTATTCGATATTCGTATAAGATTCGTTAACAATTCGTATTGTTAAACAAATACAAATACAAATCGAAATTAATATTCGTTTCATATTTGAATTCGAATTCGTATTCAAAAAAATTAATCAAATACAAATACAAAATCCCGCTATTCGACTCGATTCGGTTCGTATACAACCCTAATCAACGCAGTTAGGATATTTTCTTTTGGATTGTTTTTAGTTTTATATCAGACTAGATCAGATCAGACCAAATTTAAACAGATCAAATCAGATCAAACTAGACTTAAAAAGATAACACCAAATCAGACTGAAACAGTTATAAAATATACGGAGACAAGATATTTATCAAATCAGACCAGATCAGAACAGACTAGACCAGCAAATTTTAGTCGGAAAGAAAACTTTTTTAAAGCAACACCACCCTCTTCAACACTAAGTTTATAATAAGGTACATATGGATTATTGTTTTTCACAATAATTAAATAAAGATACTGCGGAGTAATTCACAAATAAAGCACTCAAAATATCGACATAAATAATGTCCTTGAATGATTCTTCTATTCAATTTCTATTTTTCTTTGCAAATTTCAAATTTATAGAACAAAGTTACTGACTGGACGCCTAATATTTTTTAATATATCACTGAGAATACTATGTAATTAATTGGAAGAGTGGATACCAGTCGATATCAAGATTTTGTGGAGAACTCTAAGAACATAGTTGAAAATCACATTGTGTTTTGAATTGTGGATTGATGCAGCTAAGGCACCATTCTAAGACCTGTTGGGGAAACACGACCTCACGGTCTCTTTCAGGATCACGGGCTCATACAACTCTTGTACACTCACTCACACTCTCACAATGTAAAGATTCAATCTGTCGATATTATTTTGTATCATAAATTTGAAATGTACAAGGGAGATTTTACAAAGAAATAAGTAACTCATTTCACTCTTTCTATATGAGACTACTTCATTACGCATCACTTACACACTTAGGGGAAGTCTTCCTCAATTGTCTCCTCTCACGCTCATCAAGGGACATCTTTGGATTCTCTTCTCTCACTAGAAGAGTTCTCCTCAAGACACTCTCAAGGCTCTCTTTCATTACTCATGGAGGCTCTCACAAGGCTCTCTTAGGATTAATAAGGAGTCTCACCCCTTTTGAATTACTCTTCTTAAGACTTCTCTAGAACATTTATACATCATTACACTTCTAGAGTCTTCCAAAGGTATCTACAAGCTTTTCTAATCTTCTCGAAGGATCTAGAGAATTCAACATTTTTTCATAATTTTCTAAAGGCTTACACACAATTTCACACAGTTTTAGAGAATTTCACTCTTCAGTACAAAACTCTACAATGTTCTAAAATTTTCTACGCTATTTCACACGCTTTTAAATAATTTATCACATCTCTAGAAATCTCTTAATTTTCTAAATGTTTAATACTTCTCTGCACATATTGTAATTCTAAATTAAACATCTCCATTGTATTCTAGAATTTTCAATAATTTCTCAATCAAAGAGAGAACTGAAGAAAACCAAATTAATTTATTGACAGCCAGAACGATGCAAAATTGTGATAAAAGAATGATCAAAATTGTTGCAAGACTTGTACCAAATACGGGGTACAATTTGATTTGTATGATTGATGGAATGAACAAGTATTGATTGTGTACGTTGATCGGTTGATACAATCGGCCAGACAAATATGATTAGCAACGTCAGCTGGAAAGAGAAATTTTCATTTATCCATAATATTGACATTATCTCATAAATTCGATGCTTAATACTTACTATTTGATGCAAGATAATAATATCAGATCACATTTGAGATATACTTTGACAATATTTAATATTTTTCAGTATTAACTATTCACCAAATTATACGGTGCCTGCTTCCATATTTGTCTAAACATTTTTTTTTAAATTGTTCACACAATTCGGAAATAGTTGCTAGAATGCAAAAATCGCATAGGAACATGGCATATTGATATACGTCCTACTTTTCTTTATTTGTTAGAGCATCTCCATTTGATACTCAAATTTACGATTTCTTATTGTCATGTGACTTTCACATAAGATTATCTCAAATAATCTCTAAACCAATCAATTTCTTTTCATCCATGATCTTAATTTACCTAGATTTTTTATGAGACATGCACTCAATTTCAAAATCTCTGAAAGCTAGTCATCACCTTAATTATGAGTATGCCTAGAAAATGGAAAGAGGAGTCTAAAAGTTTGAAATAATCTCAAAATAATTCAGTTTTGAAATTTGATACCAGATTATTTTGTCAAATAATCTCAACTCCCCATCCATGATCCCAAAAAAATTCTCCAAATCATCAAAATGATCCCAAAAATAATCTATGGATGGGGATGCCCTTAGGGTTGAGGATCTGTTTCCGTCGAATGGAATCGGCTCAGATAAGCTGAAGATCGGTTCCAATAATTTCCTTGTGCACTCTTAGAATTAAGAGAGCAACTATCCTATTCTATCCTCTGATCTCGTTTGGTAGTTTGCACGTTAAATCTTTGCACGCGAAGTGATTGCATGCATAATACAGGGAAGCAATCATTTTGCATACAAAATAGATTACATTGTTTAGTTAAATGTGTAATTTATTTTTAAATTGCATGTAAAGTCGTTGCAGTGTGCTTCATAAAAGGCATGCAAAATATTTTATCACCTTCCCCCCACGTAAAATACTTTATATGGTACAGTGTCAAATGTTTTAAAAAAAAATTCCTACGATTTACATTAAATAATCAAATCAAACATTGTAAACATTTTACGTCTTTATAATTCGCATGCAAAGTAATTATTTTACATCCTGCCAAACGCTCCCGGAGTATGGTTTTTCTTTTCTCACCACACCCAAAGGCTTCAAATTCACAACCATGTATGATATATACGGCCAGTTAGAAAAGGATGGTGGCCTGTTGAGAACACTCTCACATGCAAAGGGTTGGAAGCTAAGACTATTAGCTTATTAATTAGCAAGGAGATTGGATGGACAGTTATGCAAGATACACTCAATCACAAAGACACAAACCTCACTTATTTGATCAATTATGAGCCTAGTTAAAATTCAAACGGGAGAAATAAACCAAACTTATTAAAGGGAGTAGGAGTAGACAGGGGCGGATCATAGTAGAGACCCAGGGGGCAGTGGCCCCTCCAACAACAAAATTTTTTAGTGTATATATATACCAAAAAATAATTTTCGCCCTCCCAATTTTTTTTTTTAAGTTACCGCCCTCCCAAGATTAACTTCCTGGGTCCGCCCCTGGGAGTAGAGGTTGCAAATAAGGTATCAACAATTATTATTATTACTAGCTTTCAAGCCCGTGCGATGCACGGGCAGATGTAATTTAGCTAATTGAAATTTGATTTCTTTAGGATCATATGGAATGTGATTTAAAAGAAAAATAAACTTAGTCTAATATAGATCTTGTTTGAAAATACTAAAATAAATTGAATTAACTTATTTTACTCAAATTGATTAAATTATGACTAAATGAGCTAAATGAGTGGAATCATGAAAAAATATGTAAAATATATTCCATTTGTGAAGCCAGAAAAAGATTATATGAAAAATAGTTAAATTGATCTTCTACATAAGCATCTTGAGTAAATATAATTGCTATGAACCCGATTTTAAACATTTAATATAATCTTATGAAGATGGATATTCATAGAAATTTAATACGGAGTATATATTAAGTAAAATAGTCTAAATATAGAGTCTGTTTTTTTAAATTGTAAGCCTAAACATATAAACGTATACGATAACATTTAATTGTTGTAATGGAATTAAAACGTATAATTCTAACACATAATTCTAAGCCTAAACGTATACTATAACATTTAATTGTTATAGAAATTAAAACGTATTGTATTTTTGGCTAAGAATACTTGTCATATATAAACTTAGCCTAAAATAGAGCCTGTTTAATATAGTACTTTCTGCGGATTTTTGTTTCCATATCAATATGCAATCAAAAATAGAATCTAACTAATAAAAATAGA